GATTTATGGAGGTTTTATTGTATTTTTTAAAATTATAGAGAATTCTCTTTAAGATTATAAGTTACATTTAGATAGTGGTCCGATGAAGATAAAAGTTACAACCTTTTAATTAACCATAGGTTACTATAATGTTTATTTTCAAAGATATAAATAGTTATTCATGTTAGTGCTTTAGTATGAAAATTTTAGAAATTATAATGAAGTTTCATATTATGCAAGCTATCTGCTTCAGCTTGTTCCTTTGCATTTCTTGTGTTTAGATTTGCATGTTAGAGTCATTCAAATAATTTTTATTAAACTATCTTGTGAAATGATTCAAATCACAAGCTTAGAAATAAATTTTTTTTACTCTTGATCTTGATCATCAAGATAATCCATTCTAAAAGGGTTAATTTAATTCCTTATCATTTTTGGGTGCTTGGGATCTTGATAATTAAGAAATTGGTTTTGTACACTAATCTAATCATGCTCAAATATGTTATGGAAATTTTAGCCCATTTAAATACAAAGAACCTTATCTCGCTGCAAATCATTAACAAAGCATTGAAAGAAGATTTTTTTTAGGTCCTAAAAGACAAGTGTGGTACCTTGTGCAGTGTCCCCTTTCAGTCCAGGATCAACGTCAACCACAGTCAATTGAATTGTGTTGGGAACCTCAAAATCAATAACCTAAAAGATGGGAGAACAGAGAAATGAGACGACTCAAGAATTACTATCATCATATTTCACTTCTTAGAACTGATGCCACACTGTCACTTTGTAGAAACTTGAAGGCAATGTTCATGGCATGTGACTCATTCATCAAGAAATAGGAAAGCTGCTAAATCTTATCGTATTTTTCGAGAGCGAACCATTTAAGAGCCACGTTGTTATGAACTCTATTCGGGACACACAGTAAAAAAAATGCCTGTCAAAAGCTGTCTAAGTGATCGGATTTACCTTCCCATTCCAAAACAATACGATGCAGTCCATTCCTTCTTTCAGCCACTTTGTCCTATCACCAACGTCTGCTGCATTTAGGCGTATTTCTTCATACGTATTCTGAAAAATGAGCCAATTAGACTTATTTGATGCAGGTGTGACTAGCAAACTAAAATGTATTCACTAACTAGCTTCCCATAGAAAGTGACTATGAGAAGAGCTACCCTATATATCAAGTTGTCTAGAGAGAAATTCTTTGCGAATTATGAGAAAGGAGACAATAACGATCAAATCATAACTGCATATACGTGTGTGCATGTGCGTGTGTGTGCGCGCGCGTGTGTATTTATATACCAGATCCATGAAAACAAACTGGGAACCATCTTTGTATGTGAACTGCTTGACTTCCTTGTATACATTGGCCTCATCAAGCTGGAAAGACAATTAAAGACAAATGATTAAGAACGGACGAGGAAGAAAATATGAAAGAAGAAACAACACAATTGTAGCAAATCTTTTCCAAAATCAAGGTCTTGAGAAAGCATTTGAAGGCATAATTCATTTCCAGTGTGGTTGGATATAGCATCCTATTTTCTACACAGTTGTTGAAATCTAGCAGATAAATCTGTCTTGATAATGTCAATTTTTTGCAAGCCCAAGCCCACCGGTAGTAGATATTGTTTGCTTTGGCTCGTTACGTGTCACCCTCAGCCTCACGGTTTTAAAATGCATCTACTAGGGAGAGGTTTTCACACCCTTATAAGGAATGTTTCATTCCCCTCTCCAACCAATGTGGGATCTCACAATCTACCCCCTGGAGGACCAGCGTCGTGGCCGGCACACCGCCCGGTGTTTGACCTTGATACCATTTGTAACAGTCCAAGCCTAACACTAGTAGATATTGTCCGCTTTGACCTGTTACGTATCGCCATCAGTCTCACGGTTCTAAACCGCATCTACTGGAGAGAGGTTTCCACACTCTTATAAAGAAGGTTTCCTTCCCTCTCTAACTGACATTGGAATCTCACGTTATGAGTAGCTAAAAGCTCCCATAACTTTCTAGCCCGTTTAATAGGATGGGGATATCAATGAAATAAAAGCTGAAACAGATATCTGAGTTCAATTTAAACAAGAGAGATGATATCTACCAAAATCAATGGGAAACAAAGTGGATGATATTGAACCATTCAGCAGTGATTATAGGTTTGAAATATATATGAACTGAAAATTCTCGCATGCATGACTAGATAATAATTCTGCTACTCACCGAGCTTCCTGCTCGAAAAGTTCTCTCAACCGTATTTCCTGATACATAATTGCGAATTTTGGTCCTTACAAAAGCTGCTCCTTTGCCGGGTTTAACATGAAGGAACTCTATCCAAAAAACAACAATTCAAGAACACTCACTCCGGTTTGAAAAATCGAGCAGCAATAAATAATGATTGGGGAAGGGGAAATTAGACAAGGGGTAGAGAAACAACCTAAAACCCGCCAAGGAAATCCATCCACTTCAATATTGGTGCCAACTTTGATGTCGTTGCTAGTTAACGCATAAATCCCTGAAAGTGCAACAAAAATTACAACGCTATACCGAGGAATGAAATTCAATCGAACATTCAGAAATGACACGGAGCAATGCCATAATCGAAGGGTTTACTCGAAAATCTGGTACGCGAATTAGCCGAGGAAAACCGCCGGGTTCGGAGAACAGACGGCTTCGAAGAGAGCGAAAGAGAAGTCATTGACGATGAGCGGCGGGCGAGAAAAGCAGAAGACAACGAGGCATTACAGAGGAGAGCGTCAGCCATGTCTGGGAGCGTCTCGGCAACTGTAAGTGGTTTCTCTGAGCGTTCCCCCTCGAGTCTTGCGAAGAATGACAGGAAACGAGTGAGGCGTCGTTCGGGGATAAGGCCTGGGAGGGCAGGATTTCACCTTTTACCGCCCTTCTTTAATTGGTCTTAACCATTTTTTTTTTTTTTATTAGGATTATTAACTTATTTAAAATTTTATTAATTGAATTAGTTTATAAGTTCATAAAATTAGTTATTTAAATTTAAAATATATTTTTATTTAAAATATAATTATATATATGTATACTTAATTTGATAATTATTTTTATTCTGTACAACTCTTAAATAACTAAGTAATTTTAGATTTTTAATTAAAAATATAAAATTAATAAAATATATATATATATATATATATCTATAAATTTTATATTTTATCTAATAAATACTTATAAACTTTTAAAAGGTTTAATAGTCGAAAATAATAAAAAAAATTATTGTCATTTAATGTTTTTTTTCTTAAATACCAGACTTTTAATAGTATTTAAAAAAATACATTCAACTTAAAATGTTTTATTAATATTCTTCAATTTTTTTTAACATTAAAAAATACTTTTTGATTTGCACTCGGTCTACGGTCTAAAAGACCCATAAAATCCTTTACATTAAAAAAATATATATATATTACGGTATGAATAAAAGTCATCAATCAATATCTATCTACAAATGTTTTAATGTTACTCTTGAAAATTTATGAGTACATTTTAAACGTGCGTAACAACAAATATATTTTTTGAATTTAAAAAAAAAAATTAAAGATATTTTAATTTTTTTTTTTAAAGTTAAAGTGTAATCATCAAAGGATATTTTTAAACAATTTTAAAAGTTAAAATAGTGTTTTTTGTAAAGTAATTTCAATTTTTATTAGTTTAAGGACATTTTTATATTTTTTAATTAAGAATATTATTGATTTTTTTTTTTAGATATAGGGTAAAATTCAATCCTATTTTTATTAATTTGATCAAACAAATAAATATAATGCTAAATAAAAAAAAAATACAACGCTAAATAAAAAGAAAAAGAAAAACAAGATATGATATTGATTTGTTTAATCATTAGTTTTGTACAAATATTAATTCGCAACCGTGTCGTGGGCATCACCAAGTTCTGTGCAATAATTGCTGTTCATCACCTCTTCATTTCCCTTAATTAATTATCATTATAATCCAATAATCTATATAGTTTTTCGTAATTCGGGTCCGGTTTGATTATTTTTTTAAAATATATAATTTTTTAAATTTAAAAAATCAAATGTTTTGCTTATTCCTTTTCCCCTTAGCCACTACCGAGCGGGAACTGAAACGCGTGCGCCGTGCGGTGCGCAGCCACCGGCCCTGCCGGGTGTCAGCCACTGGCGGAATCAGCCTCCCGACGCGATTGTTCAATAGTTGGCCTCTCTCTTTCAGCGCGGTTGGTGTCCTCCCATCTCCGCCGCTGGATCCATCAACCCAATCAGCCTACGTCACAACCAATCAAATCAACGGCCCTCAAGGCCTCCGACTCCCACTGGAAATCTGGACCATTTTGGGGTTCCGTTATATGGCAGGCACAAGCGTAGTAAAGTGCAAAAGAGGAGGGTACTTCGGTCATTTCATCCTCTGAAACCGTAGTGCATGCGAAATATGCGATTGGATTAAAAATGGTATGGCGCATTATACGGAACTGTCTTTTTGGCGCAGTATTGTCATTTAGATAATCCGCTTTAACCTAACCCACTCGCCCTTGTCGAGCGTGTGTCCTATTCGCTGCTGAGCTAATTTCCGTCATTTCACTCTAATCACGCTGACCTATCAATGATCACTCAAATGCTTCCTTTAGTAATTTTAATTTTAATAAACTCGCTTAATTTCAAATAATAAATAAATAAATATCTAATTTTAATTCATTTTAATACTTATAATTTTTAAAAAATTTAAATTCAAGCGAGTAGATTTTTAATAAACTTTAAAATCAATTTAGATCCGTCTGTCCCAGAGTTAAAGTTATCTAAGAAAGATATTGATACAGATGAATGTAATTGATAGATTTTGCATTATTTTACTTTAGAACTGGAGAATAATATTATTATTTTTGTATATAAATAAAAAATTATTATTATTTAATTTATTTTAATAAAATTAAGTATTAACGAACGGGTAATTAATTTATTTATTTATTTATTTTGTTAAAAGTGTATTAAAATTAAAATGAAAAATAATAATTAAATAGAAGAAAGGGTAAGTGGGGATGGCTGTGTCTTGAAGCATCATCGTGCATCAGTGCATGCATTTTGTGCTTCCCAACTTCTCCTCTTCATCCTCTCTCTCAATCTCTACTTTATTCCTCGGTTGCTTTGGGAGCACTCGTCTTCTCCGTTCAACTTTCCGATTCCGATCAGAGATCCAGCTCTAAGGTACCTGAAATCTTACTCTCTTCATGATTATCTCTTCTTTCCTCAATCTTCAAAGCTTCAGTCCTGCTCTATTTCCTCTGAATGTTTATATCCCATGCGCACCTATGTTTTTTTTATGGTAGTCGTGACTTTAGCAAATTTAGTTGCTGTTTGAGAGAGAGAACTAGCTATTATCTTAGCTCTGTTTCTCCTATGATTGTTAGTATGGTGCCCTGTTTGGTCGACTAATTTTGACTATGGATTGCTTGGCTGCTGGAGTTTATCTAATTTAATTAGGGCTCTCGTTTCCGCGTCATGAATTTTGGTCTTGTGAAATTTTTAGAATTGAGATTGAGGAATGGCTTCGAGGACTTGCATGAATGTGTCATGCGGAGCATCCTCTTCAACCGAATGGAGGAAAGGTTGGGCTCTGCGATCTGGCGATTTTGCTACTCTCTGCGATAAGTGCGGGTAATTTTTCGGGCTCAAAATCTATTTAAATTTTGTAGAAAGCAGCGGAAGCTCTGTTGAGGTTTCTGCGCTATGGCTCGACTTTATTTTAACTACATTTATACTCTCTCTCCCTTTCTTGTTTTACGCCTGAGGTAAATAGGATACAAGTTTTCGAATTTCATTTGGCTTGCAGCTGGCCGTAAGATTTTTAGTTTAGCCGTCGTAGTATAGAAGCTAGAGTGGCCTCTTAGAGTAAGAGGGTGCTCAAGAGGCATAAATTAGCCTTGAATTGTGCTTTACCAGCTAATAGTTTCTCGCTGTATTATTAACTTCAATATATTTTTAAATTTTTTTCCTTCAGGTGCATTTCATTTTTCTTCTAGCATTATGCTATCTAGAATTAAGAAATTTGGGTGCATAGGATTTATCATCTTATTTGTGTCAAAGTTCTATATATATATATATTTTAGAGATCCTAAAAATGTCACAATTAATGAACTGTTAATAGGTCTGCTTACGAGCAGTCAATTTTCTGCGATGTGTTCCATTTAAAAGACTCTGGCTGGAGGGAGTGTACCTCATGTGGCAAGGTAATCCGATTTGGAATAATCAATCTCTTTTCTTTTCAATGCTTTCTCTTCCTTGTATGCCTAGATTTTTATCAAATGGTGTTTCATTGCAGAATCTTCATTGCGGATGCATTGCTTCCAAGTTCCTGATGGAGCTTCATGACAGTGGGGGGGTGAACTGTATAAGCTGCGCTAAAGATTTAGAGCTTCATATTGTAAGAACGTACACCCGTATAACTCACTGGTTTATGTTGCAACTTGCTAGTTATTGACTATAGCCCACAAATGCCCAACTTTTTTACTTTTAAGTTATGCTTTGTGGCATATTCTTTCTTGCTCTTATCATGGTCCTTCACTTAAACTGGTTTACATGTTGTATTTAGCATCTCAAGTATTTAAGTTGAAGGTGTCCCTCCTTGCTACAGTTGTACGTTTTTCTGTTCCATCTTCTATGATAAAGCAATTGATATTTATAAATAAACAAGAATCCTTTGTTTTATTTAAATGAACTTTCTATTTGAGCTTTTGGATTATGTAATGATGCACAAAGATTATAAGATTCTCTTATCCCTCCAACAATTATTCTCTCCTACCAAATGATATCTAATTCATTATTCTGCTTATGGGATATATTACTACAGACCGGTACTAGTGAAAAGCTGAATGGGCTTGGCACACCACAAGTTCAGAATTCTGGTGCTTTACAAACACTTTTAGTGGAAGATGATAACAGTGATAGAATAAGGCTCGTCCAGCAGGGAAACAAGGCAGAGGGAAATGAACTTAGGGAATCACTCCTATTGCAAAGTAATGACAAAACTGGATCCTTAGTTCAAATGAAACATGAAGAAAATATTTCTCTGGTGAAAGATGTTGGGTATGTATCTTCCTTGGAATTCAATCAGGTGACGACAAACGGGTTGAATGAAACTGCCAAACAGGAAATCTGCAAAGCAGATAATGGAACAAAGTTTACTTATGATTCTCTTGCTTTCGGATGTGGTAACTCAAATCCTCTTCCCGGTGTTTCTAGTGATGAAAAAGAGGATAGCAAGTCATCCTCTCCTTTGCTTCTAGGTTCTAGATCTCGTCATCTTATTCCGAAGCCCGCACGTGCATTATTTAATGTAGGCTTAGAGCCAAATGCTAGCATGGTTTCACAAGTACGCGTAGCAAGGCCACCTGCTGAAGGGAGGGGGCGGAATCAATTGCTTCCTCGTTATTGGCCCAGGATTACTGACCAAGAACTGCAACAGATATCTGGAGCGTATCCATCCCTTCATTTTAATTGTTCTAGTACTTTCTGCCAGCATATTTCCATGTCTTGAGCAATTATCATTATCATACTCCTTAACTGTCTGATCTTAAGTTCAAATTCCACTGTTGTGCCATTGTTTGAAAAGATGCTCAGTGCCAGTGATGCTGGTCGGATAGGCCGATTAGTTGTCCCAAAAGCCTGTGCTGAAGTAAGATTTGCACCATGATTTGTCTAGTTTTGTGACGATGTTTTATGTTTACTGTAGTGGATACTGTAAACTGTTAGGTGATCTCTGGACAACTTTGCAGGCATATTTTCCTCCAATCTCTCAGCCAGAAGGCCTTCCTATAAGAATTCAAGATATCAAAGGAAAAGAGTGGGTGTTTCAGTTCAGGTTTTGGCCCAATAATAACAGTAGAATGTATGTTTTGGAAGGTGTAACTCCCTGCATACAGTCCATGCAGCTACAAGCTGGAGATACAGGTACGTATTCATGGCTGGATTACTTGAAAGCAACAATTTTAAACTATTAACGATTAAGTTAGTGATTTTTTGTTTCCATTGTTTATCCTTCTAATAATAAAGCCAGAGAATATGCAGTGGTTTGTGCCAGCTGATTTTTAAATCAGTTTTCCTCTTCCATCAACGTTTGCAGATTTTTCTTGGCTGAACTATCTTATTTTATTTTTTGTTTTTTTTTTTTTTTTTTTCTGGAAGTACTATTTAAAATTGAATGGTTTTCTTGTCATTTTGGCACAGTGACTTTTAGCCGCATGGATCCTGAAGGCAAACTTATTATGGGATTTCGCAAAGCATCAAGCTCTTCTATTATGCAGGTAGCTGGCTACTGCAAGTTTTTGAATATTAAACACTAAAAAGTGTAAAGTTGAGATTGAATTATTTATTTGATTGAACAGGATACTCATCCAAATGCTCTCTCTACTGCTGGTGGCCATTCGAGTGAATTCTTTTCAAGTGTTTTTGAAAATCTTCCTATGTTGAGTGGCCATTCCAGCCTTCTACAGTCCTTGAAGGGCAATATGGATCCCCATCTCAATTTATTGCCTGGGTACTTCAATCAACCTGGTGCTGATATGAGCTGGCAAAAAGCTGAGAAGCATGATGATAAATCAAGAGAGGGCTTGCTCCTGTCTTCAATGCTTGCACCAGAGAGGAAAAGAACTCGAAATATAGGGTCTAAAAGTAAAAGGCTGCTCGTTGATTGTCAGGATGCGCTGGAGTTGAAACTCAAGTGGGAAGAGGTGCAGGATTTGCTTCGTCCACCACCAACTGTCAAACCGAGCAAGTTTGTGATTGAAGATCATGAGTTTGAAGAATATGAAGTATGTGATATATGTGGTTTTAATTCCTACTTTTATAGAGGTTTTTATTCTTGGTGTTCATCAAGGGCAAAAGGTTTTCCCCAACCTTGTTTCATTGTCCAAGTCCCTATTCATACTGCTTTGTCCCTGTTTTTTCCAGTTTATTTATCTTGAGTTAATATCAAATCTAAGCAAATACCTGTGTCTAGGAGAGCAGTCATGTTGAAGTAATTGTTGCACGGTACTGATCTGACAAGCATGTATAAATTTTGTGTATTTTCAAACAGGAACCTCCAGTTTTTGGAAAGAGGAGCATTTTTTTGGTCCGCTCAAATCGGTAATTGTTTTCTATGTTTAATAATGTTTAGAGTTCAAGCTTTACAAGTTTTATAATTGCCATTTGATCTAGCTGTTACTTTTTAATTTGACTGTTATGAACAACATTTGCACCACATATGTTCACATTACAACCATCATGCATACAGCACTGAGTACCCAAAATATAATCCTTTATTCCAGAATACTTCCGCTCATAGAATTTCAAGTACTTTAAACCTCCTATTTGTAAGTACCGAAAAGATAATCGTTTCAACTGATATGTCTTCTACCAGGGGGCAAGAGCAATGGGCACAGTGTGATGATTGCTCTAAATGGCGAAAATTGCCAGTTGATGTACTTCTGCCCTCCAAGTGGACATGCGTGGAAAATATTTGGGATCAAAGCATGTAAGTACTTGCTTTCCTTCCCTTTTTTACTTGTCTACTCAAGGAGAAACTGTTCATAGTGAGAGAGCTTATACTCTATTTTATACTTCTGAAATCATGTTCTCAGGAGTTCATGTTCTACACCTGAAGAACTGACAACAAGGGAACTGGAACATATTCTCAGATTAAATAAGGGTATGGCTGTGTACCATTATATTCTCCAACGATTACTGTTCGTTTCCTCTCCTCTGTCTTTGTGCAGATGAGCATGCATCCATACATACGAAAGAATGACATTATAGTAGTATACAACACAGTTTTCAATAGCAGTTTATATTTGTGATTTGCATGCGGTTTTATCATTTTCACATTTATTAGAACTTGTAGCACTAGTATTATTAGGTTATAATCGTCACTTCAACTGCATAAGTTTACATGAATTTAAACATCAGAGAGAATGCAGCTTTGCATACTTCAAGGTCTGCACTTATTAGCTTTGACGGATCTTAAATGATTATATCTGCATGGTCAATTAATTGCTTATCTTTACGTGCCAAGGCACAGAACAAGTGTTTATATTAGTGTCTACTCAAGATTTTTCATGTTGTTATCCCGTGCGTTCATTGCATTTACTTCATGCTTTCCATAGATTATTGTCATATACACTTTGTTCTAAATGCCCAATTTCCAGAATTCAAGAGACAGAGAACTTTGGCTTTCAATAGACCAATCCAGGATCATGAATCCTCTGGTCTGGATGCTCTGGCAAATGCTGCAACTTTAGGAGATAATGTCAGTGATCCAGGTACTGCATCAGTTGCAACTACAACAAGGCATCCGAGGCACCGTCCTGGGTGCTCATGCATTGTGTGCATCCAACCACCCAGTGGAAAGGGAAAGCACAAACCTACATGCACATGCAATGTTTGTATGACAGTTAAACGTAGATTTAAAACTCTAATGATGCGCAAGAAGAAGCGGCAGTCTGAGCGTGAAGCTGAAATTGCACAGAAGAATCAGCTTAAGTGGGGCTCTAGAGATGAAACTGAGTTGGACAACACCTCTAGACATGTATCCCTCAACCTCGGTCCTTCTGAAAATGAAGCCCAACTGACAAATGAATCCAGAAGCCGAAGTAATTTGGTCGAAACTGGTAAGGACCAATTAGATTTGAATTGCCATCCTGACCAGGAAAATGAAGTACAAGGGGTGTCGAACCGAGTGAGCATGATGAGTCTCGTTCAAATAGCAAGCCTGCCATTGGAGACGTACTTGAAGCAGAATGGTCTTACGAGTTTGTTACCGGAGCCACAGGTAAGTTTGGCATCATCACATGCACCAGCACAAGGTGCAAATGAGGTCGAAGGTGCGATGAACGATGATGATGGGTGTTTTGCTTCTTCTGCCCAAGACCAGGAAAGTGAGGGAGAAGAAATCTGTGAAAAAGATCAAAGTTGAAATTCAATCGTGGCTCTTGTTCATGATTATTAAATACTAATATGTTAAGTATAGGATATTTAATTTTAATGTAAATAGCAAAAAAGTTTAGTTCCTTTTTCTTCTGGCAAAATGTATATAACTTTCTTGTGGTTGATAGGGTCCTTCAGAGTTGTCCCCCGTTGTCAAATATAAAATTGGTCATGGTCTTCAAGACAATTTTGTGAACGGGAGGTCCTCGTAACAATTGACACAAAATCCTGTTCGGACAGTTGAAGTAGAGGTGTAGATCTGGATCATTCTTCCGTGACTGTACGGTTCAATTTTCATCTCTGACTACGAAAGTGTAGTGGGTAGCCAGTCCCCATGTGAGGTGTAGGCATGCGCGGCGGAGTGCAGCAAACGAGACGAGTTGCGCACAATTAACAGACAATGTCAATATTGTATACTTTTTGTTATATATCACTCTCAACCTATCGTCGTCGGCCTCACGATTTCTCACGTATCACTGTCAACTGTTCTTTTATGCATTGTTGTTGGCTTACGATTTTCATGTCTATCGCTAGTAAATATTGTTCACTCTTGCTAGTAAATGTCCACTTTTTGTATATATCACCGTCAACCGTCACATTGTGTATCGTCGTCATTTTTCATGTTCATCACTAGTAAATATTGTCCACTTTAGTTCGTTATATGTTGTCATCAACCGTCCCGTTATCTATCGTGGAGAGGGTCTAACCTTACTCCGACTAGTGCCTCGCATCGGCTTGGCCACAATATCTCAAGCACACCTACTTTCATGGATCATAAGAGAAAGATGAGATAAGAGGGAGCCAAAGGAGGAGATGGGAAGAAGCAAAACAAATGTGTAAAATGGGAGTTTGCATCAGAAGATGCTGACCCCAATCCCAACCATAACTCAATTATATCTACAAAACCAAAACCTTTCCTTTTACAACAACACCACGGGTTGCATTTATCTCTTATGTATTCTTTTGAATGATCAAAAAAGTTGAAAAATAAGCGTGTATATATATATATAGATAGATATAGATATATATATAAAAGGAAAATAAAAGAAAACAATTTACATACAAAATCAAAATCCTTCAACCCCAGTTCGCCGAAAGGTCGATGACGATGATTTTTGGCTTCCCTGTCTATCAAGCTCCTCAAGTGAATGTGAGGAACAGGCACGCGGGGGAAGAGTTAACGGCAAGGTTCTTCTAGACGGAGATACAGACAGCCGAGCACCCGAAGGTGGCGAAAGGGAGAAACTTAATCGAGGCGCTGGGGTGATGATACCATTAAGGCTTGGAGACCTTGAAATCTGTTTTCCAGCAAATGCTGCAGGTTCTTGCAAAGGAAACCGACACGAGTACTTCACGTCTTGTATGCTGCTAAGGCGTTCAACAATCGTTCTCATCGTCGGTCTCTCAGATGGATCTTTCTGAAGACATCTTTGAGCAATGTCAGCCACAATCCTAGACGCTTTAGACGGGAAGCGCCCTTTTAGTTGAGGATCCATGATCAGAGACAGTCGACAATCATCGTTGAGGAATGGCCCGCTCCATTTAACTAAGTTTCGCTCTTCCTTTGGATGACGGTTATCGAGATTCCTCCTGCCGGTAAGTAGTTCCAGAAGAACAATTCCAAAACTCCAAACATTGCTCTTAGGAGTAAGTAACCCTCTCTCCAAGGTTTCCACTGATAAACTTGCACCCACCTGCATATATCACCCAAGTCAATCGTGCTCGAAAACGACGGGTTCATATAGAAGAAAGCAAGGAGGCAGGCAATCAGTTTACTAACCACCGAGTTGTTCGATATCTCCGACTTGGGAATATGTCCGACGCATCCATATCCAGAAAGTTTAGCACTGAAGTCCTTGTCAATCTGTATGTTCGCAGTCGAAAACTCAATGTACATTGCCTGCAGATACAAAATCCCATCCTAAGACATTGGCCAAGTGAACCAAATCTCATGTCAAGTGTATTAATACGACCGCAAGTTCCGTTACCTGGAAAGGACCTTCTTCGTGCAAGAAAGTCAGACCTTGGGCAGCACATAACGCAATTTTCATTCTTGAATTCCAGTCGATGAGCGGTCCGTCAGATCTCGAGTATAGAAGCCTATCCAAGCTTCCATGAAACAGCCTTTCATACACCAACAGCCTCTGCTCGGAGCCGTCGCGTGCATGGAAGCCGAGTAGTTTACAAAGGTTAGGATGTTGTAAAGATGCCAGTGTGTTCACTTCATTCACAAATTCCCTCAATCCCTGGGTAAGCATAGTAATCACCTCATATAGTTAGTTCAGGCTTCAACTAGAAACCAGTTTCAAATGCTTGCACAGGTAAGATATGGTCCTTTATGGGCTTTCCTTTTCGGGTTTCCCCTCAAAATTTTTAAAACGCGTCTACCAGAGAGAGGTTTTCACACCCTAATAAAGAATGTTTGTTCCCCTCTCCAACCAATGTGGATCTCACAATCCCCTCCCTCGGGGTCCAGCATCCTCGCTAACACTCATTCCCCCCTCCAATCGATGTGAGATCTCACAATCCACTCCCCTTCAGGGTCCAACGTCCTTGCCGACACTCATTCTCCTCTCCAATCGATGTGGGATCTTACAATCCGCCCACAATCGACAAGGACGCTGAACCCCGAAGAGGGTGGATTGTGAGATCCCACATTGGTTGAAGAGGAGAACGGAACATTCTTTATAAGGATGTGGAAACCTCTCCCTAGCATAAGCGTTTTAAAAACCTCGAGGAGAAGCCCAAAAGGGAAAGCCTAAAGAGAACAATATATGCTAGCGGTGAGCTTGGGCTGTTATATTGTATCTAGAGTACCGAGTAGAGTAGAGCAGACAAAATAGAAATCAACCAGAAAAAGAACAAATTTCCAGAAAAAATGATAACCTCACAACCACTTTGAACTATCTTTTAGGCAAATAATTTATAAGCCACCTAATGTGAAGTGCAACCTAACAGATAATATCCAGTTCATCCAAATAAAGTAGCTGTAGTACCTGATTTGATAAGTAAAGACGAGTAACATTAGCCTCAAACTTCCTTAAGCTAGAAGAATCATCTCCAAAAGAAGCCTTATATATAAACGACGAGAGACCTTCGGACACGCAACGATCAGAAGAAAAATTATGGCAAGCAGCCGATACTTCTTCGAATGAAAAGTTCCGAAGTGATCCGGTAGGAGGCAATGGCAAGGGTCCCGACGAATGTAACGGCCCACTGGACGTGACCGATTTAAAGCTTCCTGAAATTTTCAAAGAAGCAGTAGCCTGAGGTGAAGGAAGGGGCAGTGGTTGTGGACCGGAGGATTTTTGCTCCTTATTCAATCCAGCATTAAGCTTCGACTCCTCGTGTGCATCGTAATCCATCGCTGCAAGAGCGTCCTGTTGGGCATCATCGAGAGACGAGGGAGCAGACAATGCCCTGGCTCTATTGCTGGATATTTTATTAGCTGATTGAACAGGCTTGACTCTGGTTCTAAAGCTTGGTGGTGCGGACTGCAAGGATCTTGTTTCAAGTTGGGGCTCAGGGAGCATAGTGGGCAAGTGCTCCTCCTTGGGATTAAGGGGTTTAACATACGCAAGCTGATCGACCTTTTTCTTTTTGGTCTTCCAAACAGCGAAACAGGGCATCTTTTTTCAAAGCCTATATACAAATGGTAGGCTTCTTGGATTAATCTGCACAAGGAATTAATACACCAAATATTTCAAAGCCTATAACAAACAAACACATATACATTGAGCGCTTCTGGTATGAAATGATCTACCAATCGAGGAAGTTGTAATAGCTCAAGCCCACCACAAGCCCACCACTAGCAGATATTGTCCTCTTTGGACTTTCCCTTCTGGATTTTTCCTCACGGTTCTAAAATGCATCTACTAGGGAGAGGTTTCCACACCTTTATAAGAAATGTTTCGTTCCCCTTTCCAACCGATGTGAGATCTCACAATCCATCCCTCTTGGGGACCAGCGTCCTTCATGGCATACCACCTGGTGATTGGCTCTGATACCATTTGTAACTGTCATAGCCCACCACTAGCAGATATTGTCCTCTTTGGACTTTCCCTTCAAGGTTTTAAAACACATCTACTACATAGAAGTTTTCACACCCTTATAAGGAATGTTTTGTTCCCCTCTCCAACCGATGTGGGATCTCACAATCCACCCCCCCTTGGGGGATCAGTATCCTTGCTAGCACACCGCCCCCAACACCGCCCAATGATTAGCTCTAATATCATTTGTAACTGCCCAAGCTCACTGCTAGCCAATATTGTCCTCTTTGAGCTTTCCCTTCCAGATTTCCCCTCAAGATTTTAAAAACGCGTCTACTAGAGAGAGAGGCTTCTACACCCATATAAAGAATGCTTCCCTCCCCTCTCCAACTGATGTGAGATCTCACAATCCACCTCCCTTGTGAGCCCATCATCCTCGCTAGCACACCGCCCAGTGACTAGCCCTGATACTATTTGTAACTGCCAAAGCTCACCGCTACTAGACATATTGTCCTATTTGGACTTTCACTCCGAGATTTTAAAACATATCTACTAGAGAGATGTTTCCACACCCTTACAAGTAAAAGAATACTTCGTTCCCTTCTCCAACCGATGTGTGATCTTACAAAAACTTACGAAATTAAACACCAATCCATCCAAAACATAATCATTCAATCCCCTTTTCAGAAGGGCATCTGAGAAAAAATCCAGAAAATTGGCTCCCCTTTCCTATTGCAGAAGGCAACCGATTTCACTTTCAAGTATACTGTCTTATTAACCACAATCTATAAGCAAATCTATAAACAATTCGTAAGCTCGAACAAGAATTCAAGGAACAAAGCTCCGATTACTAAGAACAGTGATTAAGAAAATCAAAACAGAAGGAAACAGCGAGAATTAAAACCCTACCGAACAGACCATAAATCAAGAACTCAAGGCAGAATACGAACCTGGAAATGATTGAGTCATGCAATCGAAAGTGAAGAAGAGGACGAAAAGAAAGAGTGAAAGGGAAGAAGTGAAACTGATAGATCTTTGAAATGGAAAAAACCCAGAAAAAGACGATAGGAGGGAATAGTTTCTATGAAACAGAGATAGAGAGATGGGAACCCCAATGAGCAGTAGTCAAACCTACCGAACCCCAGATTTATTTTTATTTTTTTTAATATTAAAAACCAAATTTTGTTTTTTCATGTTGTTTTACAATACTACCCCCCCTTTTCAGTTTCTTCTTTCTAAAAATGGAGGGTGAATTGGTGATTTTAGATATTATAAAAAAAGTCTGCCATTTCAATGAAGTACGCCTCGATTGAAGTGACAGCCCAGTCAAAGTTGGAAAATTGTTGGTATAAATATATATTTTATTTTTAATTTTTTTTTTTAAAAAAAACTAATTGTTATAATAACAATAATGATAATTATTTATAGAAAATAATAATAATAAAAGTTTTCAAAAAGACCTATGGAGATAGGTGTTTGACTACGAATCTGGACCGCTGGATGAGCGAGTGGGGAGAAGGTAAGGAACGGCCACGTTGAAAGGGATGGTGGGACCCACTTGACGTATTTCTGATTTAATAATTTTAAAATGAAATTAAAAACAAGAATAAATGGAAGAGGAAGAGTAGAGGAAGGGGAGTCTCACGCGCCAAGTGGGCCCCACCACCACTGTTTTCTTTTTTCTTTCTTTTTTTTCTCATTTGGATTTATTTTAATATTTGTTTTCCTCGCAACACACGCAACAATAATATTAATAATAATTTTCAACAGTTCTTAGTTTATTACTTCAGCTTCAGCCTTCAATCCAAACATGAGCCCTTTCAGGTTTGGCATTCCCAACCAGATTTGAAAACCAAGCAAGCCAAACCAATTTCAGATGAGGAACATATATTTTTTAACATTAAGTCATTTAAAACCTTAAATGCCTCAAAAATATACCACTTTCTAGTAATGATTTTTTGGGAAGACTTCTCGGTCAACTCGATGACTTCTATAAGAAAGACAATATAAAGATGTTCTAAGTGCTTCCTGCTGAAAATGACTAAGGAGAAAATATCGTGCTTATTTAGTTTTTAAATTTAATAATGTCTAATAAATTCTCAAAATAGAGTAAATTCTTCACAAATTTAAATTTTAAATTTATGTCCATTGTCCAACAAATTCTAAAATTTTAACTTTTTTTTTTTTACTAAATTTGTAATTTTAGAAGTTGAGGTTCCAAATTTGTAGTCAAGTGTAACTACATTCTCCGACAAATTGTGACTAGAGGTATGACTTGTACAAATTGTTCAGAGTTAGAATGTCTCCAATAAAAAGATGAATAATCCGCTCACGATCTATTGAACGACTAGTAACTTGATTGGTTTAAATCGAAATCGAGAGGAGGGAGGGACGATAAGCTCACAATTCACAAACTAAATTTATAATTTAACTTTACTTATCTCACAAAAGGGTCGGCCATGAATCTGCTTGACCGAGCCCTCAAAGGGTTGGCTCAAACTGGCCTTGTTGACCCCTCAAGGGTTCCGATGGGTCAAAAGATATAGTAGAAGATTTGAATACATCATGGTTATAGGTGAAACTCTAGAGTCCAAGATGCAATTAGATTTCGGGTGTTCGACAGTAAATAGGAAGTCTATAGCGTCATTCCGACCGTTTGCACATGAAGCCAACCACACACCTCCTTGCTATTGTCTTTATCATCTTATGTTTTCCTTTTCCGTATGGGTTGGAGTGGCAAGAATTGATTGAAACTTTAGCGTGGGCTCACAAACGCACACGTTTGGCTAATTTGATTCGATGGGAACGAAACATTCTTGGTATGAAAATCTCTCCCTAATAGATGCGTTTTAAAACCTTGAGGGGTAGCCCGAGAGGTAAAGTCCAAAAAGGACAATATTTATTAGCGGTAGGTTTAAGCTGTCACAAATGATATCAAACCCAGTCATCAGGTGGTGTGTCATCGATAACGCTAGGCCCCCAAGAACAAATGGTATCAAACCCATCATGTGGTGTGCCAGCGAGGACGCTAGGCCCCCAAGAGGGGTAGATTGTGAGATCCCACATCGGTTGGAGAAGGGAACTAATCATTCCCAGTGCCGAAATCTTTCCCTAATAGATATCTTTTAAAACTTTGAGGGGAAGTCCTTTCAACCATTGACCCTATAACCATCAAAACCACATTAAGGTCGGTCTCATGAGAGTAAACCCCTGTCTTGGACTTCATTGAGTTCCATCCATAACCAAAATGCATCTATAAGCTCTACTGGATCATTGATCCATCATATGCTTTGATTGTAAGTAGCTTAAAGTTTTGGTGGTACAGTATCAACAAGAACAGCATAAAATAGAAAACAAGAAGAAAGCAAATAATTACCAAACTTACATTTATAATTATATGTTTAGTTGTAAAAAAACGAAGATCTGAGAAGAGGAAGAAAGAACAACATAAATAAATAAATAAATATGTTATCAAAATTGCTCTAAATCTACAAGTTCCAGAAATCTATCAATTTCTAGCAGTGAAAGAGAAAGCACAGCCATTAGCATTGCCCAAAGAAACTTGGATTTGTGGAACAATAAAACAAATAAAGCAAGGCACACAAGTAAAAAGGAACTCAAGCTAGGAATGATACCAACTCTCTTCACTGCGGCGCTGGCGCCAAATTCCGCAAGCAAATAACCCAATCCGACACCAAAAACAGCCACGCAACTTGATTCCTGCATATCAATCGACAATACGTAAATTGAAACTCCTCATTCCAATCAGAATCGCTATATAAAAAACTTACGCACCGCGCGACCCAAACGCCAAGATTGATATTCAGTTTCATCAACTAGGTATGGATCCGGCATTTTGAAGCCAACACCGGTTTTTGATCGGCGACGCCGGAAATGTTTCTTTACGAAGCTGATTATTCTGGATTTCAAAGTCCGATGCTGTTGAACGAGGATCCGAGGCTCCGATTTGGAATCCAGTCCGACGAGTAATTTATCCAGATTAAGAAGGCTTCGGAATTTTCCCGACGGACGTTTCACGGTGGCCTTGAACTTGATATAAAGGTTGTTCACCTTCGCATGTACCGTGATTTTCCATGACCGCCGGAGACCTAACGCCATTGCGACGACACAGCCACTGCCACTGCCACTTCCACGACTGAAGAAAGCGAAGCACGAAATAGAGGAGCGGATAAATTAAATCAGAATGAATGGAACCGGTCATTGTGATACCGACGAAAGTATTCGAAGTGGTTCAACTCATTGTTTGGGCCGGCCCAACAAATCTTAATGGGCTCCACCGCCACATCATAATTCTTTAAAGCTTCATTTGGGCCATACTTGACCCAATCTAAATGGGCCCTTTATGTACCTTAATTTTTATTAAATAATAAACTCAAAACGTTTAATTAAAAAATTAAAATCTTGGAAGCTAATATTAAAAAAAATTTGGGTCTAAAATTGATTGATGTCTCCTTTTTTTTCCTAAATAAAAATATTCCAAAATAATATTAAATATAAATTTTAGAATATTTGATGAAAAATTAAAGTGAAATGATATAATAGTGACGGAACACGTCCACTAAATTAAATTTTAGATAAGTTTTTAAAATAATATAATTATTTTTTTAAACAAATTACAAAATTAAGAATATTTATTTTTTAATAACTTAACCCAAAAAAAAAAAAAAAAAAAAAAAAAAAAAAAAATCCTGCCCATGTTTTGTTGTCTATGGAGTATGTACACAAAATTCCAACCACAAAGAAAGGCTCTTCCAAAAAATAAAAACTAACGGAAATATCAGAACAATCCGTGGCTTGGCTAATTGCCACCACCCTCTACGACCACAACGACGTGGCTTGAAGCAGAACCCCGCGGCGGCGGTGGCGCCGGCGAAACAGTAACGGCGTCTCGTTTCCCTTTAACCGGTGGCAGCAGCAACGAATGGCGACAGTTGGGGCAAGAGGAGTGAGATAACAGCCACGTGTCAATGCATCTGACGTGGAATCCATGGTTACAAATAGGCAACATTCTAACCTTGTCGCCCACTTCAAACTCCCCAAGGCAAATCGCGCAATCCGTACCCTTAATTTTCGCACAATCACTTCCATAAACCCCAACCGGAATCTGACTGAGTTCTCGTTTCTTAAGCCCAATCGCCGCCAAACGCGCCGCCGTCTCCTCCGGCCTCTCCGTACGAAACCGGAAGCCGAGGCTCAAAACGCAGCGTACAAGAGCATTAACACCAAGAGCTCCAATTAGTGCAAATAAGAGCGCCGCCAGAATCACCACCATGTGAGCGTCGAGGTTCATCTCCCCGACATAATACGAGGAATTAGCCGTGGTGTTCCCCTGCACTGCCTCAGTTGCCAGAAGCCGGCGTGGCAAATTTGGGTCCATAATTTCACGGGTGTGGAGGAATTTTTGAAGGTAAAGATAAAGGAAGGAGGTGATGGAATGATGGTTTAAGGTTTATCTTTTTTATTGAGTTCCAAAATCAGTGGGCAGTTCAGAGCTTTAACTAATATCTAAGATTGGGATTTTGTGGGAATTAAAAAAATAGGATTTTGGGAATTGTGGAAGCTGATGATTGGGCAACGAGTCCATACCTTTTGAGTAGACAGCAGAGGTGTGCTAACATGTAGATATTAGTGTATGTTGGTAAAGGATAAGGGAAATATCGCTGCCTGCCAAGTTGCCAACCAAAATATCTAACTTTATTGACACCTTTTTTTGTCTTTTTTTTTTCTTTTTTCCTTTTTAGGATTTTGTATTTAGAAAAAAAAAAAAAAAAAAAAAAAAAAAAAAAAAAAAAAAAAAAAAAAAAAAAAAACCTATACTTGAGAATGGAAGCTGGACGAGGTTAGGGTCAGAAATTATCCTTATTGATTTAGTTTGGGGTGGTTACGTGGCTGAAAATGAGTGGTAGATTTTATATAGGCTAAATTAATATAAATATCTAAATTTTATTTCAATAAAATCCAAAAAAATATCTTCAAAAATATTTCAAACTTTCTACCTTTCATAATATAAGATTTTTTTTTTAAAGTTTTTTTAATATCCTTAAATTTTTTAAAAAGATTAAAAAAAATATATTGGTAGTGTAGTATCCTTATGTATGAAGATAATCGATTCGATTGTGGTTTGATTCGATTATGAATTTCTAATGACATTTTATATAGGGATTTCTTATCTCTTCCATCTTCAAGCTCGAGTTATGAAAGAACGAGCGGAGAACGTTTAAAATAAATAAAAATAGCAAGATAAAAGTGATTTGGATTGTTTTAAAATCAATCCAACACAAGTTTAATTAATTAATTAGCACGCCACTTGCATATAGCACCCTAAGTGAAAATGGTGATGGATTGCACAAGTGCAAAGAAGCCAATTATGTAGCTTCTCTATCATCTAACCCTATGATTAGAATTTTAAGTACTCGAATAACTTTCTAGTTTTCCCATATGATCTTATAAATAGGCCATTTATACATACAAGTTTCATAGAAGTTTGGGGCTTAGAAAATTTACAAAAATGACTTGAACCAAATAAGAAGTTCAACAAAATGGGGAAAATATCTCTTTTATGTAATGAAAAAACAGAGTTGATTTCGCTCGACACAACCTAACGATGCGTCCAATACCAAAGATCTGCACCTAGATTGCGTTGCTAGGTCTCCGCTCTATTATGCTATACAGGCAACAACAAAAGCTGTCTGATCGGGGGCTTCCATCCTAGTTTATTGGATTCAATTTTTATTTGATCTTAGAAGCTTGAAACATACTACTCTTTAGTCTCTAAAATTTTAAGAACCGCTCTAAATATTCCCCTAGTCTTTGAAGAAAGATTAAACGATCCATTTTAGAATAGTAATTGACATTTTATCCACTACGAGTCAGATACTCTACACGAGTATGATATATCCTTAATATTTTGCAAATTAGCAATGTGGCTTTACAACCCAAATCAGTTAAACAATTATTTGGTGAATGGGTTCCCCCATTGACATCCTCTCTTTTCCACAGCCTTCATTGTATTCATCATCGTCTTTGAGTCCTAGAATCCGGGTAGTCAAAATACATATGGATACACTACCACAGGCATGTCTTTTTCTCCATGTGGAAAAGAGAACAAGCTATTCAAAAATTATACCCCTTATTGCGAGCCCTTAGCCTTTTTAGCAGCAAACAGTTGGCGAAGGAATCCAAACTTTCCTCTTGTTCGAGCGGAGAACTCGGTTACAGCACCGTCGCTAGTCGTTGCTGTCTCGGTTGTATAAGATGCTTGTGAAGATAGCAAAGGAGGTGGGAGTGTAAATAGATATTCATTAAGCATCCGGATGATCTGGCTGAAGCTGGGCCTCATGTTGGGATCTTCAACCCAACACGACTGTACTATAAATGCTAGATCAGGAGGTATGTCGCCTGGAATGCTAGGCCTCTCTTGCTGCATTTCCAGACCATAGCCTCAAATGGTTAAGTTAGATATTTCGGAAAACAAACGTATAATATGACAGAAGAAAATGGTCAAATGAACATGACGTTTTTGTTAGGAATCACAACTCTCCACAATAGTAGTATAATATTGTTCAGTTTGAGCATAAACTCTCGTGGTTTTGCTTTTAGTTTCTCCAAAATACCTCATACCAATAGAGATATATTCCTTACTTATAAATTCACGATCAACCCTTTAATTAGCTGATGTGGGGCTCCTTTCCCCAACAATCCTACCCTCAAACAACATACACCATAGAGCCTCCCCTGAAGCTTATGGAGCCCTCGAACAGCCTCTCCTTAATCGAGGCTTGACTCTTTGTCCGAAGCCCTTGAACAAAATACATCCTTTGTTCAACACTTGAGTCACTTTTGACTACACCTTCGAGGTTCACAACTTTTTTGTTCGACATTTGAGAATTCTATTGACATAGCTAAGTTAAGGGCACGACTTTGATACCATGTTAGGAATCACGACTCTCCACAATGGTATGATTATGTCCAATTTGAGCATAAGCTCTCCTAGCTTTACTTTTAGTTTTCCCAAAAGGCCTCATACCAATGAAAATAGTATTCTTTACTTATGAACTCATGATCAACCCCTTAATTAGCCGAGGTGAGACTACTCTCCCAACAATCCTCAACAGTTTTATTGCATGCGATCATTGAATCTGAACAAATCTGTGATAAAGATGAACAGACAAGAAAACATTGCAACTTTTAGTACCTTGAAAGCAGCAGCATATGCAGCTTGCAAATTGGACATCCCTTCAAATGGCATTCGATTCGTCAAGAGTTCCCATAAGACAATTCCAAAGCTGTATACATCGACCTTGTTGTTGTAATGCTTCTTCTCTCCCTGGCGCAAGGTCACAGTGCTATACAACTGCAGGGACAGACAAGATAGCCAATAAAACTTCATCTTAGAGAGAAACTGTGCAGGATTCACAAACCAATCAACAAGAAAGAAATCCTCCAAAAACAGATCGACAAACCATTCGACATCGAGATTATGGATCTGGAGAAGAGGGAGAGTCGTGTTTATTTAAAGATGCATGAAATTCTTACAACTTAACAGTAACAATGAAATGCCAATAATTAGACCTAAAACTTTGATCTTTCTTATAGCAATATTATGGGTAATGCACTTGGTTTCGTTAACAAAGAGTTCAAAGAAAAACACCTCAGGAGCCATCCAGCGGTAAGTCCCTGTTTCGGCAGTCATCATCTCAGTCACAGATTCTTCTCTAGCAAGGCCAAAGTCTGCAAGCTTCACAGACCTTTGGTTTGCAGTAAGCAACAAATTGTCTACATCGCAAGTCATTTATTGATGTAAGTAATATGACCTGTAAAGAGAACCGATATATATGCCTATTTGTTCTAAATTGAAAAGCTTCGTATATTATTACTGGTTATATGCTCGGACCACAGCAAAACAGACACAGAAATATAACATAGCAAATCCCCATTCAAGTTTGGAAACAATGATAAATTACATACGAACACATGATAAAGTACAAACGAGGAGCGTAGTTAGGCAAAATCGACAAAAGAACCTTCATGAATTTGCAAGTTCACCACAAATTGCTATACTACATGTTCTCTAGCTTATAATAGAAAGAACCAGGACACTCGACCGAGCATACCGGGTTTCAGATCTCTATGTATAATCCCATTGGCATGTAGACAATCCATAGCACGAGCAACATCCAATGCGAAGTTAATAGCCAACCGAGGATCCAGCCGTTGCTTACGATTATTCATCAGATACTTCCTCAGTGACATTCCTGGTAATAGCTCTGTAACTATCACCATTAGTGGTTCTTTACAAGCTCCAATAAACTGCAAAGCAAATATCTTGCTATATTTGGTAAAATATAAAACATTGAATGTATACAATACAACAAGAAGTATTGAACCACTGATGAAAACATGACGTTTGGTTTCCTCACCTTGACAAGATTGTCATGTTTTACCCGGGACATCATATTAACTTCACGAGCAAAACGATTCTCTAGTGCTGCTCTTTCCTCCGGAGTACTCCCTCGATGGAGAACTTTAATGGCAACGATTTTGTTCCGATACCTGCAAAAATTACATGTGGGAAAACATCGAACAAGTGGAAAACGTCGTGCAAGAATTCGAAGCAAGAACTAATTAAGACAAAATCAGGTTTAGTTGCATGGCAATAATAATCTGTTTGCATAATTTGTTCAGTAATTGTTGAGCACAAACCATCTTTACACGTAGGTTAGAGCCACGGTGACTCGAGAATCAGACACTCAAAACCGTTCCTGAGTGCAAATTCTAAGAGATTTATGTGCGGGACGGACTTAAGTATAAGCATATCGGATTCTCCAGTTCGATACATATGAAATTAGACTCATTATGACAACAAATTACCTACAAATGCAAATTGCTAAATTACAAGGTTCTTCGATCGAAGGATGTAAAACAACAATGTTTACACACTAACCTGCCTTCATAAACCTTCCCGTGAGCACCCTCGCCAATCTTGGATCCAATGAATAGTAATTTCGGGTCAACAAGAAGATTCTCATCAATCGTCAACTGTTGAGCCGTAATGGATCCATTTTGGCTGACCGATTTCCGTTCTGCCTCGACAGAGTTCCTCGTAACTGGCTGATGCTCGGTTTCCCTACCATCTCTCCCTCTATTCTTCTCGTTATAACTCATACTGCAACCTCAAATAATTCCCGAATTTCTCATACTTAAACGCTTACTTACTTCAATCGGACGAGTCTGTGATTATCACTCATTCACATATCTCGGTTTCCAATCAGAAGAACGTCTTAAAATCACCAAACTAAATCTCAGCTGTTGTAACCATTGATACTCGGTTGCATATATGAACCATTCAGAGCAGAAAAAGCTTATACAGGTGAAAGAAAAGCAGTTATTATAATAAAAAAGCTATGTTCATAGCTTGGCCCCCTTTTTTTCAATCTACCGGACAGTATTTAATCCTTGTAAAACATCCGGCGAATCACCAGTTTGTGACTCTGCGCATAGCTTTGCTTGATTTCAAAGCCTTCTCATCCGCCTAACCCTAGCAAATAATCAAACAAAATAACTTACAGTTGACGCCAAAAATTCCGAGGAAACTTTTCGTCCGCAAAAATCC